TTCTAACTGTTGCTTCCTGTCCTACATATAAGTTTCTCAGAAGATAGACAAGGTGGTCAGGCACTCCCATTTCTTTAAGAACTTGCCATAGTTCGTTGTGGTCGACACAGTCAAAGGCTTTTGCATAGTCAATGAAGCAGAAGTAGATGTTTTTCTGGAACTCTCTGGCTTTCTCCATAATCCAGCGCATGTAAGCAATTTGGTCTCTAGTTCCTCTGCCTCTTCGAAATCCAGCTTGTACTTCCGGGAGTTCTTGGTCCACATACTGCTGAAGCCTACCTTGTAGGAATTTGAGCATAACCATGCTAGTGTGTGAAATTAGTGCAATTGTACAATTGTTGGAGCATTCTTTGGTACTGCCCTTCTTTCGGATTGGGATGTAGACTGATCTTTTGCAATCCTCTGGCCACTGCTGAGTTTTCCAAACTTCCTGGCATATTGAGTGTAGCACCTCAACAGCATCGTCTTTTAAGATTTAAATAGCTCGACTGGAATGCCGTCACCTCCACTGGCCTTGTTGTTAGCCATGCTTTCTAAGGCCCACTTGGCTTCACTCTCCAAGATGTCTAGCTCAAGGTCAGCAGCCACACTATCTGGGTTGTCTGGTATAATTCTTCTATGTATTATTGCCACCTCTTCTTGACGTCTTCTGCTTCGGTGAGGTCCCTACCATTTTTGTCCTTTATCATGTCCATCTTTGAACAGAATGTTCCTTTAATATCTCCAATTTTCTTGAACCAAATTTCTGGTTTTTCCCTTTCTATTATTTTCCTCTCTTTCTTTGCACTGTTCATTTAAGAAGGCCTTTTTGTCTCTCCTTGCTATTCTTTGGAAGTCTGTGTTCAGTTTTCTGTAACTTTCCCTATCTCCCTTGCATTTTGTTTCCCTTCTCTTCTCTGCTATTTGTAAGGCCTTGTTGGACAGCCACTATGCTTTCTTGCCTTTTCTTTTCTTTGGGATGGTTTTTGTTGCTGCCTCCTGTAAAGTGTTACGAGCCTCCATCCATAGTTCTTCAGGCATTCTCTCCACCAAATCTAGTTCCTTATACTGTATCTGTTCTTCACTCCCACTGTATAGTAATAAAGGATTTGGTTTAGACTAGACCTGACTAGCCCAGTGGTTTTTCCTACTTTCTTCAGTTTAAGCTTGAATTTTGCTATAAGAAGCTGATGATCAGAGCCACAATCAGCTCCAGGTCTTGTTTTTGCTGACTGTATAAAGCTTCTCCATCGTTGGCTACAGAGAACATAATCAATCTGATTTCGGTATTGCCCATCTGGTGATGTCTAGAGTTGTCTCTTGTGTTGTTGGAAAAGAGTGTTTATGATGTTAAACTGTAATAGGAAAAAAAATCAGAGAATCCTGTGGCACTTTGCATGAAATGTTGGCAGGCGTATATATACATGGCTGGAAGTGGGGATTCACAGAAAAAGATATTTTAAAAAAATACGTACTGCGACTATTACATGGGGTTAATGTATGTATGGAGGATTGGTACAATGATCAGGAAAAACTAGATCTGCTAAATACAAGCAAGCACTAGAAGTCCATTCCTGATATCCCAGTTTTGGGTGTAAAATTGATAGTAGTCATACTGGAAGTTTCAGCTTAAACATTTCCCTGCCAAACTGAAATGTTGTAGAATTTTTGGCACCTCCTGATGTTTTGGAGTTTGGCAAGCATCATGTTGGCTCTACTTTGAAATGGGAAAAATTATCTCTAAAATGTGCATTGTGTAAAAAGCATTTCTAGTATTGAGTGGTAGATAACATGGTGTTTTCTAGGTGCCTGGACTACACCTCTTATGATCTATGACCATTGGCCATGTTGATTAGGAGTTATAGGCATTGTAGACCAACTCATGGGAAGGGTTCCAGGTTATCTACCCAACTGAACCAGCCAACTTTCTGTCAACTATCTATGAGGTAAAAAACCAGCTCCTGTTCATTTGTTTTCTTTTAGATACTGAGAAGAGCAGACAAAAATGGTAAGTCCAAAATTTTATCTTCATTTTCAGAGAATCATAGAATTAAATGGCATGTGATCCATTTGAATATTTAGTTAAATTTCTCACAAGATGTCCGGATCAAACCCTGTATCTATGATAGTAGAATGGGGAATTGTGCAGTCTCCAAGAGGGGGAAAAAACCACCAATACCACTCCAATTTTTATTTCCCCTTAGGGGAGAATTATGTTTTCGGGAGCACAATTCTCCTCCAAAGTGAGGGACATGGAATCTTACTAAATTACTCATTTTTGATGGAACAGACCCGCTTGCCACTTTGTGACAAGCTACTGAAAGTCAACTCCTGTGTGATTTTCCACCTCCAGCACAAGAACAAGAGAAGGAGTGCTTCCCCCGATCCAAAATTCTTTTCCTCAAGTATGTTGAGGATTTCACAATTTACACAAAATATTTCCGTGCAAAACTAGTGTCTCTTATGTTTGTAAAGCAAACCACAAACACACAGCAAGGCCAGAAGAACTGGCTGATGGAGCAAAAACATGCAAACAACCCATTTAATGCTTCTAATTTTTAAACATCCAAGTAACAAGGCAGCAAAATGGTTCTTCTATAAGTGAAAACCATATTTACAACTTACAGAAAATCCCTTGTCTCACAGATAGAAAAAAAAACTAAACTTTTTTCCTTGGGTTATCCTCTAGCATTTTCCTATTCTAAACATTGATATGCTTCTCTAAGTCTTACTTATCAGGAGCAACATTTTAAAACTAAAACTAACATTCTTGGAATTTTGGTTCCACCGTGCCCATGGTCCTGCCTACCAGTGGAATGTCATCCCCATTAATGTCTCTAAAACTGAATTCATCCTTTTAGGTTCACATCCCTAGTCAAAGAAACATTCTCTAATCTTGTTCCCTATAGATGTATTAGATTACAAATCCTATAATTCCTCCAACAACATACCTGTATAGGAGGAATTGCAGTTAAGAGGAAAATAGCTGATCTACACAAAGCCCTTGTCCTTTGAACAACTACAGTACAGAAAAAAATTAGGATGTTCAAACAGAAACGGGATGCTGTGAAGCAGCTGTGCAGTGCTTACATTTCCTTCTAACAACATTCCTGAAAGCATCAGCTTGAAAATGCAATAATTAAGAAATGAATGACACAGCAGGGATGCTTGAGAATATGTGATGTGAATGTGGTTTGTTTTTATTCAAGTGGAGAACAACTGTGCTGAAAGAAAGCAAAAAACAAGAAATATAATATCTGATGCCAACTTGATGTGTTTCAAAAGCAAATATAATGTAAAGTTTCATTTTCTTTAATGGTACCTTATGTTTCATGCAGAAGCAAGGGATGTGTGACCAGATGCTGTTGAGGAGAGGGCAGATGTGAGCAATAATCTAACATCTGGATGGCTATAAATTCCCTATTCCCAGTTTTGTGGGACTTTGGGGACAAATGCATGCCAGTCTGTTGTCTCAACACATGAAATCCTTTGTGTGACCCACTATCAAATGTCTCTTGTCCATGGTGAGCTGATACAAAAGATCACTCTTGCATAAAAAGACCCATTTTGTGTCCAGCCGTAGAAAGGAGAAGGTTCATTTATCGCAATGTATAGCTAATAGTTTAGCTGTGCAATCTCCTCTCCAAGTTCCCTTGATAATGATCAGATCTTTTTAGCTCATTTACCGCAATGTATAGCTAATAGTTTAGTGCCCTAAGCTGTGCAATCTCCTCTCCAACACAGCTTTCAAGGTAAGTTCCCTTGATAATGATCAGATCTTTTTAGATGTTGCTGTTTTTTCTAATGTAAAAAATGTAAATTTCATTACAGTCATTTCTTCAGTTGGGTTTCTTCTGTGCTTGGAAAACAGCTAATATGTAACTTGGAGACAGTGACTAAATGCATGAAGAATTTTATCAAGGAAATGTTTTGATTGAGGATGGGTTTTGTGAGGAAGCATATATTTGTCTGAGGAGCTAGATTTTTGCTTAGTTTCAAAGTATGATTAATAGTACAATCATATACATGTCTGTTCAGAAATACATGCTGTTACGTTCAACGGGGCTTAATTCCCTGGGAGAAAGACCAATTGAACTAAAAATAACCTGCTTCTGAACAGACATAGATTAGATAGAATTCTTAGATTATTATTATGACTAATTATTTTATAGTCACTAGCAACCTAAAGAACTGTTGTTAAAGCAACATCAAATCATCTGTTCACAATATCAATATTTTAAGGCAGAAAATAAAGGAGTAGTAATACTGACTTGTAAGGTGCTAGCTAAGAATCCAGTTTCAGATTGTGTTCCTGCTTAATTTCACATTTCTCCTCAAATATAAAAAGGAGAATGATTCAGAAGAAATTGACCAGAATTTGATCTCTGGCACCAACAGAAATAGTGCATACCTTATTCCTTAGTGCTTTCAAATACAGAAGGCATCATCCTCTTAATAAAGTGGGAAAATACTGCTAATGTTTAATGTTTATAAGCCTTTCATAGCTTAATACATAAAGGTAGCTATGGCCCGGACCCTAGGCTATAGGGATTGAAATGTATGCCAGCAATTCTCTTCTGTGGTTTGTTATTCAAGCTTGAAAGAGTGCTCACGACAGAACATCTACGTTCTCATGACTGATCATCCTATAATTTCTCTGTGTTTCTAAGTGTCCTTATGAGTGAGTTGGCTCCAGTGTCATCACTTTGAGCCCCTCCCCCCTTTTAACAACATTTTGTTTCTGTGTGTATCACTTTGCACACTGGGTGTCTCCAAAATGAAACAAGAGGTAGTGCTGGAAGAGGAGACTCTCAGGTTGGAAAGCACTCAGTCAGCTACTGGGGAAGAATAAAGGACAAGTGCAAACAGCTCTATTGCTAATGATGCAGCTAGATCAGGGGTCTCCAAACTACAGCCCACAGGCCACATCCAGCCCTCCTTGCCTTTTTATCTAGCCCAGTGGGCCGGCGTGTGGGCATCTGTGCATGCAGGTGTTCGTGTGGGAGGGAGGGTGCGTGGGCACGTGAACCTTCCTTCAGCCCTCAAAAATGTGGAGTGTATATGATGTGGCTGTCCTGCTGAAAAGTTTAGAGACCCCTGTTCCTGACTGATATTCTGTCGTAGCAAGAACAAGCCTCCAGTAGCAAGTGCAGTGCATCAGGGATATGACTAACAGTACACAGCAGCCTTGGACCAGAACCTGGAAATGTTACTGTTTTGGATTACAGCTCCCAGAATGCATGCTGACCAGGGATTCTGGGCTTTGTAGCCCTCCCCACAATAATATTTCAAAGCTTTGAACAAAAAATGGCTGCTTAGGAAAGACATCTTGTGTCCTTGTGTGCAGACTCATAGAACAGCCTGAGGTCACACTGGCTTGCAAATTTACTGCTTCTTATGCCAGCCCCGCTCTGTGTCCTCTCTTTATGTTATTTTCAAGTCACCTGGCACTTACACATGCATTGGCATGGCTGCCACTGTTTTAATTCCCCCACAAAACATAATGCCCTGCAGATAGTATGTTGGGATCATACTGTTATGGAGGATTAAAATGGCAGCATTTATAGAGTGGCCACTTACAGGTTGCAAAAAAGGGGGAATGTGTTCGCAAAAGAGGACTGAACAAAGCCCAGCTCTGCATAAAAAATGCTTGTGCAAAGTTACAGGTATGGAAACCGAAAGAAGCACCATCATTTAAAGAGATGTGTAATACATGTCATAGTAGTTGCAGAGACTATGAGCAGGTAACCTGTATGCCTACTTAAACAGCACCTCAGTGGTTAACTCTGAATATGTATGCCATAGCCTCCCTGTTTTCCCTTTCTAGAGTTCTTTCTCTTTAAACTATATCTGAATCAGACAGCCCTTCAAATAAGGAGCCATCCTCTGACAGCACACTAAGCAGAAGAGTGTTTTCAGTAAATTAGGATGCTTACCCCCTCCCACTTGCTGGCAGCTACCTGGGCCTGTAGACCTTGACAGTGTCGCTGCTGGGTTGGTCATTTGCCTCCATCCACCAGGACCTTGTCAATACCATTAGCCTGTGACAGGAAAGGGCTACACCGCTGCCGAGGGATGATGCAGTAAAAGCCCAAGTGCCCTGAAACCTGGAGTTGGGCTTGGAAATAAAAATCAAAATACTGTAATGTTGCTTCACTGTTACCTGTGAAGTATTACTCATGCAGCACAGCTTGTGATTAAGGCTTTTGGGAGTTGCAGTCCAAGAACAATTGGCCTTGGAAAGAAAAATCAAAATACTGTAATGTTACTTCACTGTTACCTGTGAAGTGTTACTCAGACAGCACAGCTTGTGAGTTTTGGGAGTTGCAGTCCAAGAACACCAGGGTTGCCCAAGGTTGGGAACCCCTGCCCTAAAGAATGGGGACAACAAACACATTTGAATTACACTCCTTTAATTAAATGGTTCAAATAAAATTGCATTCTAGTGCCAGCTTTAAGCTCTCCCTATTGGTTAGAAAGGCAACAGTCAAAATGTTTGTAACAAACATTTCTGCATCTTGTTGTTGTACTCGTTTAATTAAATGGTTCAAATAAAATTTCATTCTAGTGCCAGCTTTAAGCTCTCCTATTGGTTAGAAAGGCAGCAGTCAAAATGTCTGTAACAAACATTTCTGCATCTTGTTGTTGTTGTTTTCTGTTTGTGGTCTGAGCTGGGAAGTTCACCACAAGGACCTGAGGTTTGAGCTGGGAAGTTCACCACAAGGACCTGATTGTGTTATTATGAGTTACGAAATCATGAAGTGGCACATGATTAGAAAAGCCTAGATAGAAAGACTAGGCGCTACAAATTGGGTAAAGCCAGTTGGGTTACCCTTAATTGCCTTGAGGGTTTATATTCTGGTACCCTGTTTCCCTGAAAATAAGCCCTGCCTTAATTGCCTTGAGGGTTTATATTTTGGTACCCTCTTTCCCTGAAAATAAGCCCTAATATGATTTTTCAGGATGCTTGTAATATAAGCCCCATCCCAAAAATAAGCCCCAGTTAAGTGAAACCCTGCCCTCCACCATTGTGTAGCATTGTGCAGCAACTGGAAGAAGATGACATGACTGTACTTGAATAAACGTAGATTGTTGTACATCGGGGGTTTTTTTGGGGAAAAATTAATATAAGACCCTGTCTTATATCCCCTAAAAATATGCCCTTACGCGTTTTTTGGGGGGTTTTTTTTGGAGGAAAAATTAATATAAGACCCTGTCTTATTTTGGGGAAACACAGTATGTGAGCCCATTCTTTACTGTAGCTGCCTCTTCCTTGTCTGTCGTCTCCTCCTCCATCCCCTCCACTGCCCTGGGTGGGGCTGGGGGTAAAGCAGGAGTTGTGGGGGTTTTTTTTGTCTTTTTTGTGAATGAGTGTTCTTACTGTTAGAAGATGAAGACTGATTCTTCTAGAAACACAAAGAAACATGATTTCTCTTTCAACTGAACCAGCTTTTTAAAATGCTGTCAATCAGTCAGTCAACCAACCAACCAACCAACTGCTGTATCTTTTCCCAGTATAATACTCTCTGTTTACTTAGACACTGGATTTTAGAGTCTAAGTGGCTCTATTAGCCTGAATAAGCCTCTCTGGGCAAGCCTGTGTAATCTTAATATTCTACCAAGTACTCTGTTTGTAAATGTCAAAAGCTAAATAGTATTCTGATATAGAAGAAGCGCATATATTTTATTGCTTAGATTATTCTCCAAAACTGGCTACAGTTGAGGAAATCTTACTCTAAAGATGTTTCTATGACTACTTGAGAAATGCTAATGAAATATTAGGAAAGGTATGTTAAGATCAGGAAGGTGGGTGAATTTTTTTTTAAAAAAAATGTTAGGTTGCCAAGGAAAATGATACTGTATTTGTTTAACTTTGATCTGGCTGGAGAAAATGTCATTCCAGAAAAGGTTTTGTTTCATGAATCATCTGTCTTCATACTATTCCACTGAAAACAGTGAACTTTCAGAAATATCAAAGAACAGAAACATATGAATATGTTTGCTATTTTCCCCTATTTTGCAAAGTATTGGGAGAAACAAGACAAGATAAAGCTCTCTTGTTTCCTCATCCCTTCTTATATGAAGGTGTCATTGATTTTTAAATTGATTTTTAATGGTTTTAAATTTTTGGAACATACAAGCATGATACTGGGGATAATAAGCAGAACTGGCCTACTTGTGAGATGGAGTGAGGTGACCACTTCAGGTGGCAGATCACTGAGGGTGGAAAACTCCCCACTTCTTCTGCCCTGGCAGGTCTCTTGCCACTCTAGAGAGCTGCTTTGGGCAGCTTATCAGTGCCAATAAGTTCCTTCATGGCTTTTGGTTCCATACAAAGGAACAGCTGGCACTGCTTCATTGCTGCTTTCAGTGAGGGGCAGGAACACATTGTGGTCACAGGACGGCTGCTATGGATGCTGCCACAGACATGGCAACCACTGCCTTCTTCTCCAAGTAGCAGCATCATGTGGACTTTGATGCCCCAAGCATTCCAGTTTGTGGAGAAAATGCATTATAAATGAAGATTTGAGAGAGATAATTGAAGTGGGCTATACTCACAGCCCAGAATCCCATCAGGGTTTGTGGAAGACATGCATAACTTGCTGTAACTAATTGACTGTAGCTAAGTCAGATGTGTAATCAGGCACACAGCCTAGATGTGCTTAGGCTTCTTGTCAGTTGCCTGCTATTAAGGGCAGTTAGCAGTTACACAGACCTTACATAAACATCAATAGGATTCTGACCAAAGATTCTAATATACCACAAAAGGAATAAATAAATATCAAGGATTCTCAGTATACAGTGGCCATAATCTGGTTTTGCTTAGCAGAGTAAATCGCACTAGAGTAGGCCCATTGAAACCAGTGAATATTTGGTGAGTCAATTCCTCCTGTAAGTTCCATTGATTGAAATGGGCCTATTCTAACTGCGACTTACTGTACTCAAGTAAGAGTAGGCCTCTCTGAATCAACTGAAGTTATGGATGAGTTGGCACACCAAATCCCCATAGATTCAGTGGGCCTGCTACCATAGGGTGTTTTACTTCATTGAACAACAAGTTTTTGGCAAATGTATGGTAGTGCTCTGGATTCATGCCCAATTTTGGGAACAGCAATAACTGAAATGTTATTTCCTTTGACATAACTCAGCACACTTTCTGAAAGCCATTTGATTACTGATAGCAAGGCTGATTGCTGAGAACAGGGCATTCTATGTAATCAGCACCTTGACTGATCATCACTGGTGTTAGCAATGCCATTATTATGTTGAAACCCCCTTTCTATTGTAATCATCCCTCTCTTTTCCTCATTTCACTTGGTTCTCAAATCCCTACCATTTGCTTCTGTCTGTATAAACTGCAGCCTAACTATTGTGCTCCATGTGGCTGAGGAAGTGGTCTGTAATCCATGGAAGATCACACTGAAATAAACTTACAGTATTTGTTCTTAAAGCAAAGCGTGCTGCTTATATACCACCCCATAGTGCTTCAAGCACACTCTGGGCGGTTTACAAGTTAGTTATGCAGGCTACACATTCCTCCCCCCCTCCAGTGAGCTGGGTACTCATTTTACCAACCTTGGAAGGATAGAAGGCTGAGTCAACCTTGAGCTGGCTACCTGGGATTGAACCCCAGGTTGTGAGTACAGTTTTAGTTGCAGTACAGCAGTTTAACCATTGTGCCACGAGGCTCATAAAATGCCCTTTTTATTTTTGTTATGAATGCCGAAATAGACTAACAGGGCTACTTCTTTGAAAACTGTTGCAGAGAAAATGTGAGGCATGGAGCCAAGGATAGTGATAGTGTTGGAACTGAAGGCGTAGGCTTGACAAGGAGCAGGTAGTAAACCAAGGATTCCATCAGGGTTTGGTTGGCTACGTGACTGGGCAGATAGAAAGAGATTTATCCTTCCTCCATGAGTCACTGAAATAACTCCCATTTGTAGCTGTATGACCAACCATGTCTCTCTTCCAGCCTTGGAGTCCACAGACTCCTTGTCTCTGATATCATTGCAATATCCCTTTTGGTTACTTGGCCCTTGATTCTGTAAGCAACCATATGCTGGGTTACAATGGAGCTTGGCCCTTTAGGACAAATGGGACAGTGCCCTACAGCAGTGGTCCCCAACCTTGGGCCTCCAGGTGTTCTTGGACTACAACTCCCAGAAGCCTTCACCACCACCTCTGCTGGCCAGGATTTCTGGGAAATGAAGTCCAAGAACATCTGGAGGCCCAAGGTTGAGGACCACTGCCCTACAGCAAACTCAAGTTACTCTCACCTAGGCCACTCCCACTTTTTTCTTCTTCTGAGGCAGAGGATGACAGCTTCACCTCCATTGTTCTCATGCTGAACACTAGATCCCACATTTTGTATGAGTGAAGAGCAGGGAGATAGAAAATGTGAGTCAAGAAATGTGACTAACCCAACATTTTGGAGTGGGGGCTGCCCTCCAGTTCTGGAACATGTTGTGTGTGGCTGACAGGTTTGCCAAGTATCAGGGAGCTTTCTGAAGCCTCGTGGAATGGTTGTGTTCTTTTCTGTATCCAGGTGAAAACTCTCAGGGCAAGTGAAGGTGAAGGAGAAAATTTAGATTTTATTGTGCAAGGTAGCCTTTAAACCCTGAATGCCAATCTCCTTCCCACTCCCAGCCACCACAGGACTCATATATCTGATGTACAGTTCTTTGACCAAATTAAAATTAATATCTCTGTATTAGTAATATTACTCGATATAGCCTTATACATCAGATAAGTCTATATATGTAGTTTGACTGAAGTTTGATTGAATGCCTGCTTCTGTAGAAGTCTGCTTGCATGGATGCATGCAATCTGATCTGTCTCTATATGTGTGAATAACCGCCTTTGTCCTTGACTCAATCTGTCACCTCTCGCTCTATCCAACATTGGCTGCTATGCCTTTTGTCACACCAACTGGCATCAGCAGCCATCACTGGTGGCAGGCATTTGGCAATAAAACCAGTTGTGTTTACTTGTTATCTTTGATGCACATCATTAGCTATTTAGAAAAATATACCATGTGGTACTTGAAACATTAGGAAACCTGCAACCAATTTTCCCTTCTAATGTTTTAATTTCAGATGATGGCAAACTGTCCTTTGATGAATTCAGAGCTTACTTTGCTGATGGAATCCTGACCAGAGATGAATTGCATGAACTGTTTCGCACCATTGACACAAACAATACAGAGTGGGTAGGATTTCTTTCAAAGTTGTTTGATGGCACACAATCAACACTTGAAGAGGCAATCTGTTTTTTGCAGTGTGGCGTTATCTGATGAAATCACAGCTCTGCAGATAACATGCAAAATGCCATGGATCAAATTCATAACTACTCCCTTTCCTGGGTGTTTTTGAGAAAGGTTGTTATGGGGGCAAATGAGATAAGAGTTCTTCCCAGAGTTTCACTTTCTCATATGTTTATGCCTGCATTGGAATATATATTTCTGTGTCTCTTCTCTATTCTTCAAGAGAGCAGGACATTATCCTCTAGGGCACTGGTTCTTAACCTTGGGTTACTCGAAATGAGATAAGCGTTCTTCCCAGAGTTTCACTTTCTCATACGTTTATGCCTGCATTGGAATATATATATATTTCTGTGTCTCTTCTCTGTTCTTCAAGAGAGCAGGACGTTATCCTCTAGAGCCTTCCATGTGAATTGCTGGATCTGCTTTTGAAGCCATTCCTCCCCCCCCTCTCCCCCATGGTCTTCATAGTGTTTAGTTTTTTATGCAGGAAGACATTTTAGCTGACAATAAAGAGGCCCTAAACATATGAACAGTGAATTTTCAGGTTTGAGAAGAACAGGAAGACGATTTGATGCTATGCTATGATGCTAAGGCGGGAGTTCTATTGGCACAAAACACTTGCATATGTCCTGGTTGCATGAGAAAGTCTACATCCTTCTCACTCTCACAAGGAGGCATTGCACTCTCTCTTGCACAATCTGTTCCCTGCAGTTCCCGGCTACCATGCAGCTTGTAGCCATTGCAGATGGCACAGAAGGGCCACCTGATGCATTGGTTTGTCCTTGCTAGCATGTAAGATGCTTGATAGAGACAGCAGCATTTATCAGATGCTTCCTCTTTTCATCTTCAGCCAGCCAGCCACAAATACGCCAGCAGGGCTTTTGGCTTCACCTACAGTATGTCAGATAGGATCTTGGCCTCTATATTTAAGGGGTGTTTTAGAAATGGGAAAATAGATTCTTCTGACCAGTTACATGGGGGATGTTAGCCAAGGGCATACCTCTCCCATTACATATGTGCATATCAGTTTGTTAAAACTACCCACTAACAAAACAGAATAAAAAGATCTTAACCTGCTGTAGAGAAGAACTCTCTGTAGGTGACTCTTTCTGGGGAAGGTCTCCACCGAGAAGTCTCCCTGTCTTGTAGCTATCCATGTGACCTCTCACCATGCCAAAGAAATCCCAAGAAGTCCCCTCACCCTTAACAGCCACTAGGACTTCTACACACATGACTTTGTCCAACATCCAAAAGAAGAGCTCTGCTGGACAAGTCTAGTAAATTATTCCCTACATGATTCCTGTGGAAGTCCACAAGCAGGACAGGAGGCCAGGAGGCCTTTACCTCTCTGGCCCCCTGTAAAGATTGCAAAACATTTATTTGTTAAAAAAATAAAACCTGTGTAATGACTCAGGAGTCAGACCTATTGCACTTACTGGAGTTTGCATTTGAGTTAACATGCATAGCACTGAGTTATGCAGGAGAGATGGGTAGGGGGCATTAAGAATAGGAAATAGGTCCTGCCTTCTCTTTGGATACAGCTAAGATTGCTGTCTCTTTTTTCACACTAGGCAATCCTTCCTTAACAGATACATGCCAAGCAGAACTTGCAGTGGCGGGAATTGTGGTGTAATGATACAGTTGAGAATCCTGTTTATTGCATTATTTCTGATTGAATATTTGCATGCAACTGCTAAAAGCATGGCGTGCTGTGGTCCATGGGGTCACGAAGAGTCGGACATGACTAAATGAATAAACAACAACAAGCTAAAGGCATATTGGTCCTGGCAGGGGGAAAACAAGGGAGAAGAAACACAAGCTAAAGTTTAGAGCATAATATTACCAATCAGAAATTAAAAGAAGTAATTGTCTACTTCATTGCTAGAGCTGCTATAGAGATTAATTCTGGACTTGAGTCAGGAGAAATGTCTACCAAAAAATTATCAATATATGTTTCTTATAGTTAACCTAGTTAAAAGCTTAAAACAAGCATATGCAAATCAGAAATCAGCCTTGCACATTTCTCCTGCAGAGTGCTGGAGCAGAACTAAGCATTTCAATTTCAGATGATTTGAAATTATAATATGAGATTTGGGGCTCAGCTGGTGTTAGCTGGCCCTGCTTCAAGCCAGCAGCTACCTTTAGCCAGCAGTACTGATTACACAGATTAACACCAGCTGGGGCTTCCAACCTTCCCACTCCTGAACTCTCTTGTGTGAAAGAGTTGGATGCTGTTTTCCTATCATAACAAAATCCACAGGGCTGCCTAGCCAAGAACACTGGTGCCAGCTTCAAAGACTCACAAGGATGGGCCTGAGCTACACGTTGCATATGTGCACGGGGGAGTGCTGACATTTGCGCTGCCCTGCCATAGTGCTCTCTCTACCTGCCTCAGCACTTTGCAGATGTTGTCCATATTCTCAGGCATTATGGCTTAATCTGCATAGGACTAAGTGGGTGGTGGGGACATGAAGAGGCATGTAAGCCCTGTCTTCCACATCACCAGCCACTTGTCATGGTTAAGCATGTTCATCTGAAGCTGCTTGGAGACTCCTTTCCAGAACTCCATGTTAAATATGCAAAGGTTTGAGAGTCTTTAGTCTTACTCAGATTAAGTTATAACATCTGGATATGCCTCATATGCCCAGTGGTACTACAAATAGAAGGGGGGTAGTACCAATTAAGTGGTATCTTCATTGCAGGCTGCACTCCCACTTGTACATGTTCATGGAACAATCTCAGATATCCCTGGCTACTAATCATGAGGGCTATCTGTTCTTTGCACTACACTCTGAATATTTGTTGCAGAGGCACACAAGTATAAGGATGCTATCACAATCATGAAGGGACGTGGTGGCGCTGCGGGCTAAACTGCAGAAGCCTGTGCTGCAGGGTCAGAAGACCAAGCAGTCGTAAGATCGAATCCACGCAACGGAGTGAGCCCCCGTCGCTTGCCCCAGATCCCGCCAACCTAGCGGTTCGAAAGCATGCAAATGCAAGTAGATAAATAGGGACCACCTCAGTGGGAAGGTAACGGCGTTCCGTGTCTAAGTCGCCCTGGCCATGTGACCACAGAAGATTGTCTTCGGACAAAAACACTGGCTCTGTGGCTTGGAAACGGGGATGAGCACCGCCCCCTAGAGTCGAACACGACTGGACAAAAATTGTCAAGGGGAACCTTTACCTTTACCTTTACCTTTTATCACCCTAATGTCCTACTTGTGTCTTTCCTACAGACACCTTGTTGGCTAACATGGAAATAGAATGCTGAGTTACTGAGGACAGGTGTGAGCAAAGTGCAGCCTGCTATAGGTGCCCCCAGGCTCTTCAGTGCACACATCGCAACATGCCCAGTCCAATTGGCTATTTACAGCCACCATCAATACTCTGAACATATCTGATCTTGTCTGAATTTGGATGATAAAGAGGGTTGGTTCTGATTAGTACATAGATGGGAGACCACCAGGAATCTCCAGGTGGGGATAGGAAAGAATCCTGCCTGAATCGTTGGACAGCTGTTGTTCCTGATCAGAATGGACAATATTGAGCTAAAATTACCAGTGATCATACTTGGTACAAGGAAGGTTTCATTGTTCCTATGCTCTTACATTAAAAATGTTTTTCTTACATATACCAAGAAGGTATGGGCAAGGAGACAATGCTGTGATTGTCAGAAGTTTTACTGAAGCTTCATAACATAAGATCCAACTAAATCTGGAGCCCAGCCTACAGATGCCCAACATATAGCAGCTCTGTAATTCTTATTCACAAGTTTAATATCAATGATATTTTGTGGTATTCCAAAGGTTTTTTGTGAGCACCATTTCCAGAGTCAACTAAAATAATATAATACTCATTTTACCAACTGTACAATCAATGCAGTCTTTTGAATCATTCTTATTCAAAGCAACACACTGTGCTCCAGATTTTTAAATGTATCAGTTGTTTGAGAAATGATGCCTATTATTATTATGATTTGTTATTCACAACCACCCCATTTTATATCCTAGTGGCGAAGCGTATTTCAAACATGTTACAAAAGCATGTAAAGCTAATCTCAGCTGCGTTCTGAGGTTATTATTGTGATCTGTTATTCACAACCACCCCATTTTATGTTCTAGTGGCAAAGCGTATTTCAAACATGTTACAAAATCATGTAAAGCTAATCTCAGCTGCGTTCTGAGTGCTCATGCAAAGGTGTGCTCTTTCAGATTTTTGGACTTCAGTTCCAAGAATTCTGGGAATTTCAATCCAGAAACAGGAATCAGTACAGATACCCTGTTTCCCCCAAAATAAGACCTAACCTGAAAATAAGCCCTAGTATGATTTTTCAGGATGCTCGTAATATAAGCCCTACCCCCCCAGTTAAGCCCCAGTTAAGTGAAACCCCACCCTCCACCATTCTGCAGCAATCAGAAGAAGATGGCATGACTGTATTTTAATAAATGTAGATTGTTGTACATGACTATAAAATAAAATATCCCCTGAAAATCAGCCCTAGTGTGCTTTTTGGAGCAAAAATCAATATAAGACCCTATCTTATTTTCGGGGAAACATGGTATAAGTTTCAGACCCACCCCTATAAGAGAAGGGCTTTCAAGAGATTTATCTGAACCACTAGCTCCTCTGGCCTTCCTGTTCCCTCTTGTTAACAATAGAAGCTGCTACAGTGTTTCCTTAGAGTCATAGTCTTATTGCCTATTAGTCTCTATAGAGGGCTCCTCCCTAAGAACTACAAATCCCAGGAAATAGCGTGCCAGCTTCCATATTTACAGATCAGCAACAGGAAGGCTAGGATAGTTGATGGTGTAGATAAATCACTCAAAATCCTTATCTGCAGGCTTGGTGTGTACAATTACAAGAGAAATTTAGCAACTAGTGCAAAATGCTGTGTGGCAGACAGACAGCCAATATAACAACTCTCAGTGCTATTGTATGTCTCAACCCAGGTCAGGGCTTCCATTCCTTCTGTACACTCTTTTGAAAACATGCACATCATTGCTAATTGGGGGATACTGTTACATCTGGCTTAATATTATTTGGAGTCTTTATTTGAAAGCTGCATTGAATCCCATTTATGAGAGAAAGGATAAGAACCAAGTAAACAGATATGTATGTTTACTGGAAACAAAACCTGCAAAATCACAATGCATTCCTCATAATATAATGTACTTCTCTTTTCAGCAACCTTGACACTGAAGAACTGTTTGGTAAGTTACTTTTTAATTTGAGTGAAAGAGCCAAACTGTTCCCTTCTGGGGGTGCTACAGAATATATGCAGAACAACAAGCCTTTCTAACGCCAGGGTAGATTCTTGATTCAGCACACTTTCTGATTATATCAAATGCAGGTGGCTAAGAACTATAGAGGATGGGTAAGCCACTGCCATTCGTACAGGGTATGACGGATGGTGCAGAATTAAAACCTTTCTCATACGTGTTGATTGAAACAGCTTTTACTCTGCCAGAGCACTCCTTAGAGGGGACACACAGAAAAGGATCAAAGAGTCCCTTAAAGTACGTCCCAGCACTTCAGTGTACACTCTGAAGTCAGAATACTGTATTAATATTAACCATTACATTCTTTCTTCCTTTCTTCCTTTCTTCCTTCCTTTCTTTCTTTCTTTCTTTCTTGGACACAAAAATCTGGAGAATAAATCTCAATTAGTCAGAAATGCTATACCATTTCTTTATTTAATTTTCTTCTCTTTGCATCTATCCTTCCCTTTAAGGTGTCTGCCTCAAATATATTCTTCTTTGTTTGAGTCAATAAGTTTTTTTGAAAAATTAAATTTTTAAAAGATTTTAAAGGGCTTGTAACTGATCAAGTCCCTTTTCTTTGAATTACCTCAGCAAACATTGTAAATCATTTAATTATCTTGTGATTCTCTGCCAAGCTATTTTCTTCAAATGGAAATCACCATGGTGAAACTGTTTATGCTTTTCTACAGTTTATAAATCTCATTTCTAAATCTTACTTTCATATCTGATGAGAGTAATATGACTCTATGTCTGGTTTCTTTAAAAATGCCTAAACATTTGTTTAGTGTGCTTATTATTCCCTTCTGCCATTCTGAATTGTATGGAATTTGCATGAAAGGCTGATTTTGCTTCACAATCTTTACTTCCAGCAAGGCTGGTATTACCGTCTGACTTGTCTGCTCAGCTGAAGTGCCTTTGGCATCTTGACAATGCCCACAGTTAATGGTTGCTATTGAACCACCTTAAAAACATGTTTTAACCCCTTGTGGTTCTGAAAGCCCCAAGCAGTTTAAAATTCTCGTGTTTTATTCTTTTTTAATGGTTTATTTCATTGTGTTCTAAATTCTATATTTTAACTATGTGTAAACCCACTTGAATCCCTTTATGAGGAGAAAGCAGCATAAAAATGAAGTAAATGAATGAACACATTGCTCGATGCCTACTTTACCCATGAGTTCTCCCAAAGAGAAAACAGTGATCAGCCTAAGAGAAATGAGGCAGTGTGATGCTGCTACCTATGAAAAGTAGAGAAAAGGAATGGGAACATCTAATTACTTTAAATGAACTCAAGCTTCTAGGACCCAATGAACTGCAACCAATTATACTGAAGGAGTTTGCAGGGTAATCTCAAAGCCATAATACATAATCTCTGAGAATTTTGGAAGATCCTGTGAAGTTCCTAAAGACTGGAGGTAAGAGAGGATCTGTGATATGCCAACCAGCTAGCTTGATATGGATATCTAGAATAGATAATTTAAAAATTAGTCTGCAGCTGTACCATCCTTTTGGTTCTGCTTGCTATTCTCTAAGTGAACACTGCAAACACAGTAACTTTGCAGAAATTTGAACTTGTAAATCAAGTAACATCAGCAACATAAACACAGCTCAACTTGGATGTGCTTTTTTTCTTTAAAAAAAGCCTCTGAATTCCATGCACAAACAAGGCACCAGAACAGGAGTCACCTACGACAAATAAAATATTCAAAGGTCTGTCTAATCCAAACATTTATTTATTTATTTATTTATTTATTTATTTACTTACTTACTTACTTACTTACTTACTTACTTACTTACTTATTTTTATTTATTTATTTATTTATTATTGAATTTGTACCCCGCCCATTTAGTCAACTGACTACTACATATCAAGAACCAAATCTCAAAAGCAGTTCTGTTTAAGTCTTACCCTTGTATAGGATCCAAAGCTCAAGGAAAAGAGTATTGGAGACAAAATCTTCAAGACCCTGAAATAAATTACAAGGACAGGTGCAAAGGTGGACTATTTCTCCTTGTTACCTAATTAATCCTGAACACATGTATTGACATTTTGTTATCTAAATCAAGGCGATAAGAACAGAATTCTTGTTCAAAAAGAACAGAAGTTCCTTTCTTGTACAGCACATTCTTTCAGTCTAATTTTGCAATTATGGTCCCTTCCTAAGGATACACACACACACACAGAGAGAGAGAGAGAGAGAGACAGACAGACAGAGACAGAGACAGAGAGACAGAGAGAGAGAGACACAGAGAGAGAGGACTCAGCCAAATAAAAAAGGTAAAGGTATTTGTAGGCCATAAGATAAAATGTGATGCAACAGCATGATGTGGCAGCAAAAAAATAGCTTATGCAAGATTTCTGCATCAGCCGAAGTACATAGTGTCAAGAAAAATAATAGCATCAATTCAATATTGTGTCTGCTGCTTCTGAGCACCACAGTTTAAGAAGGGTGTTGATAATGTGGAACAAGTCCCAAGGTGGGCAGATATGATGGTACACACTCTGCAAAGCAAGTCCCTTGAGGAATAGTTGGGGAAGTCAAGTATGTTTATGCTGGAAGACAGATACTGAGAAGTGATATGGTAGTTGTCTCATAGGGATATTGTAGATAATGGAGCAAGCTTGTTTTCTGCAGCTCCAGAGTGTAGGAGCCAAATTAACAGATTCAAACTGTAGAAAAGGAGATTTTGAAGTAAACCTAAGGAAGAATGTCCTGCTGGTAAGAGCTGTTGAGTGTTGAATATATTACCTTGGAAGGTAGTGGACTCTCTTCTGTTAGAGGTTTTTAAAAAGCCCATCTCTCACAGATATTTCAGTTATTTATTTTGGACTCAATGGCCATAGAATCTCTTCAAACTATGCAAGTCTATTATTACATGATTCTACATGTAATATGCAGGGATGGAGAACAGCTCATGGCCACAAACAACCTATAGAAACCACCAAATCTTCTCTACCCCAGGAAAGTTTGCTGGAAAGAGGGAGAAAATTTAATGTTCTCCTCCACTGGTCATTACGCTTGGAAATGGTGACACATGGGCATGATTCTCTTTCCTGTCCCTCTATCCCAGCATTCCATGTTCTGTGGGGAAACAGAGTACAGTACATGAAAATGCCAAGGTGCATAACCTTGGATACTGACAGGAAGGAAAGCATATGCAATTCCTCAGCTCCCAATGGCCCCAGGGAGTGGAAGAAATGGTCCACAGGTCTAATTTAAAGGCCAGAGTTTTCTTTGCATAAGAACAGCTATGACAGATCTCAGAGCTAAATTTGAATTATCATTTAGCTGGGAAGGGAATTTTTCTGTTGTTGTTCTGTACAATGTTGCTAATGGAAATAATCTTCAAATTTGTATTAGCTGTAGACAGATTCAGATTCAGAGGGTCATGCTGATTCGTATGTGCAGCACTACAGGTGCCTCCCCGGCCAACCACCCACTTACTAGTTGGAGCACACTCCTGTCCTCCTCCTCATTGGCATTTTGATCAGCTCCTGGCATAAGCACAGGTTTGCCCACTCTGCCTCCTTGTCTTAGTGGGCGATCAGCCAAGGAGGCAGGGGAGGGATACCTATGCTCCTATTAGAGAATGGTCAAACAGCCAAAGAGGAGAGGAGCGTGCACTGGCTGATGAGTGGGGGATTCAGCCAGGGAGGTGGAGGGAGTTCCTGCTCATCTATAGTTACCTATTTGTAAAATTTGCTCTGAAAAACAATATAATTGCCTAGAATTTAAAACAAAGCCAAATACACAAGATTTCTCAAGAAAGCCTTTTATCTTCCTCCAAGTAACAAGAAAAAGTAATGGGTAAACGTTATTCATTGCATACAAAAAGAAACTCTCTTACCAGACATTGTTTTTTCCACGAAGGGATATTGTTATGTTCTTGTCACCTCCAAAACATAACTCATTGCTGGTAATGAGGTTTATAACTTTCAAGTTCCAGAGGGCACCTGAAATCTGGACCAGGAGTATATTTTCAATTTGGGGGAAAAAAGAAAAATTGGAGAGGCTTTCAACTAAGGAGTCTCCTGGCTTTTCCCTACTGCAGATGAACCAAAGCCTGGATGCAGCTATAATTGGTTGAGACTGTTTAACCTCTGAATATCCAGCACCGAGGACATGATTGGACACTGCAGGGTTTTGAAAGCATCAGTGGAATGCAGGATATGGAATCTCTGCTATCTAGTTAAATAATGTTGAGGATGTGCTGCATATGCAGGTGAAAGTGGTGAGCACTCCAGTGAGTTCAAGAAAAAGTTAGACATCTGTCAGAGGTACTTCAGCAGGAAGTTTGACTCAATGGCCTTATAGACCCCTTCTAAAGTTAGACATCTGTCAGAGGTGCTTTGATAAGGATTCCTGCATTCAGCAGGAAGTGTGACTCGATGGCCTTATAGACCCTTTCCAACTACATTAATCTATGATTCTATGAACACTATTGCCAATCTCTAATCAGATACATTAATCTATGATTCAATGAACACTATTGCCAATCTCTAATCAGATACTGTACAGGTTCAGGAATGAGAAGAGGACATGGAGCTTTTGGAATGCTAGATGCTGGCCTTCCAGAGGCCAAATTAGCCTAGAGGGCAAGAGGGCAATCCTTATAGGATTGGACATAATACAGGATCTCTTTCCAAATCTATGTGAAATAGAAGTGGAAAAACGAACGCAGTACATCCCTTGAGTTGCATCTCCTTCCTTTGCTTTTTTGGGGGGGGGGCTACTCTGGAGTTGGCTTTCCATTCCTTCCTTTGCTTTTTTTGGGGGGGCTACTCTGGAGTTGGCTTTCCATTCCATTCCATTCCGTTCCCTTCCTTTCCCCTTCTGTTTGCTTTTGATGCTCTTCCTTTGATAGTCAGTTGTGACAACTTCAGTCACCTTCTGTTTTATTTATGGCTGTTGTTTGCAGGTAGGCAAGTTAAATGGTTGTGTGATGGAATGAATGGGTTGATAGGTGACTGATGAGTGGGTTACAATTAAGAAGAGGACTGAAGAAAGAATCTGCCTCAATGGGGCTTGGTTATGATTGGCTGCTTTCCCCAAAATCCAGGTGGGAGGAAATTGGGCATACTTTAGAATGAGTGAGAATTTACTTTAGTCACATAGGACTAGGAAACTTATTTAGATAATTAAGAAGATTGTGAACGTTAGGATTGTAAATGTAGATAGATGAGGCTTAGGTTAGAAATGAATCATAGAATCATAGAATAATGAAGTTGGGAGGGACCTATAAGGCCATTGAGTCCAACCCCCTGCTCAGTGCAGATATGCAGGAACACAAATCAAAAGATAACTGCCAGGTGGTTGTCTAAATTTCTCTTGAAATGTCTCCAGTGTTGGAGCACTCACTATCTCTCAAGGTAATTTGTTCCATTGCCATACTGCTCTAACAATTAGGAAGTTTTTCCTGATATTCAGCTGAAATATGGCTGCTTGTAACTTGAACCCTTTGTTGCATGTCCTGTACTTGGAGATGATCAAGAACAGATCCTGCTCCTTCTCTGTATAACAGCCTTTCAAATATTTGAGATATGCTGTCATATCTCCCTTCAGTCTTCTTTTCTCAAGGCTAAACATACCCAGTTCTTTCAGTCTTTCCTCATAGGGCTTGGTTTCCAGCCCTCTGATCATCCTTGTTGCCCTCCTCTGAACTTGTTTCAAGATAAAGAAGATGTAAGTTGTAAAGGATAAACATTAGCCTAGGTATATAGGAAAGCTGCAACAATGTCATTTCAGTCCCTGGTATTTATTCTGTTAGAAAAGAAAACACCTTTATAAAGGGACTTTCAGTTTGGTAACTGGTATGGCCGTACTATCTAAGAGGTATAGTCCTAATAGAAAGCAAAAGTAAAATCCTTCCACAAGGGGGAATGCACTGGACCAAGAAGTCCCCTCCCTCTTGTCCTTCTGTTGTCAGGCAAAGACTTTCCTCTTCAGGTAGGCTTTTAAGCATAAGTGTTTCAGGAATGCTTGTTTATTAAATTACAAATTTAAAAGTTTTTAAATAGTTTTTAATCTTGGTTTTAAAATATACGTTTAATTGTTTTTAATATTATGTTTACATAATATATTTTTTTAAATTGTCGTTTATTTTGCAGTTTTAGTTGTCGTGAGCCACCTTGAGTCCCCTATGGGGAGAAAGGTAGCAGATAAATAATAAGGATGGATAAGATAGCTGGGTGGATAGATAGCTAGATGGATGGTGAGTTGAGGTGGAGGGTGAAAAAGAAGCCCAGGAAACCCAAGCTTTTTGACAATTGTGTAAAGGAGTGCACTGGGTGCCTGTTCAAATAGTAAGGAGGGTCAGATATGTGAACTGGAATCCTGTGTATTACAGTAAAGTGGCAACCCAGATGAGGGAGGCTTGAGTGTCACATGGGCTTATTCTAAGAATACAGAATGGCAAGAGCAGTCACTGCATTTTACCCAGCCACTGACTTCACCCTCTACTTCTGTGTAGAAAGATCATTCTCTCGTTCATAAACTATGCATTTTTATTTCTTTCAGATTATTTTTCCCAGCATTTGGGAGAGTATGAAAATGTCCTGTCTGCTTTAGAAGATCTCAATGTATCTATATTGAAGGCAATGGACACAACCAAGAAAGTAGGATAAAGTTTTTATTTCTGCTATTTTTCTAGTTTTGGGATCTGGTGATAATTCTTAGAGGTCAAACACATGTGCACATGCTCTATGAAAAAGCATGAGTTTTTAAATTACATCTTGAGGCTTAAAAAATATCTCAGTACATTGTGACAGAATCCAGGACAGTTTAGGATTTCCCAGAGGAATCAGTATTTTTTAAATATAGTCTTAGCCTCTAGTCAGAAGCTTTAAGCTGGTTTCAAAAGAAACTGGGAGGGGAAAGGCTCTTTAATATGCAAGTATGCATTTTGAAAGAAAAGGTAGATCTTATTGTGTGACAGAATTTGACTATTGCAGCTTACAGTGGGATTAACTGATTAAGAACAAGGATTTTCAGTGGGAAATTTCAACCCTCTGAGATCTACTAGGTACCTTATTAGAGGAGAAGTCCTAAACCAAGTCCTTAGATGAATCATTCATTTCTTGTAACCATGGTAACTTGAGTAGAGAAGGAGGTCAGAGGTGGGGTAGAGGAAGCCTAGTCAATCTAAATACAGTACTATCAGTTCAGCATTTCCTGGAAATGGCAAAAACCTGGTGAGTGGGAGATGGAGGGAAGAAAAGGCTCCTAGTCATCGCAGTTTTAAATGAACATGCTCAATATTTCAAACCTATGCCTGTAATTTATAAACCTTATTATTTCTTTAATAAAGTATATTAAAGAAAATGCTTTGTTAAAATAATTACGTGACAGTGCTACAAGACAACTGAAAATGAAAAGTTTAATTTTGGGCCTGAAAGATATTGAGGCCTGGAAAAATGCACAGCTGTCACTGGCCGCTGTAGAGTCGTGGAGCATCTCTGTAAATACGCAGCTCCGTGGTCATTGAGGGAAGAAGCTAGAAAGGAAATTCTTGACAAACTTTTCTGTACAAATGAAAAATAAAGAGAACAGGTGATAGTGGAATGGATGTTTTCCTACCCTAACTCCTAGACTAGTTTTGACTTTCTGTTTGTTGCAGATATGATTAATAATGATTATGTGCCATCAAATCAGTTGTGACTTACAGCACCCTTCCCAGGGTTTTCTAGATATAAAATATTTTAGAAGTGTGGCCTGGGCTTATTCACCCAGCAAACAGAGGTATGTAGTTGCCTCAGATGGTAGGCATCAGGGATGGGGTGGGAGTTACAGAGTAGCAGCAGAATATTAGAGGACAGTAGCCTGGTGTGTGCTGCATGGAGAACCTTACTACCTCCAGGCATAGTAGAGAACCCTAGTCTGTAAGATTTCATATTTTAGTCCAGTCTTCTGGTGGAGTGTGGGAATCTTGTCTTTTAATAGCAAAATGTGTGGCGCTTGCTTTGACAGAAGCAGCATGAACTAGGGTTTTATTGCAGTTCCAACCTACTGAGTTTGCAAAGAATCCCAAAAAACTTTTTTCTGGTCTTACCATTTTTACACCCTTCTGTGTTTTACTTGCAAGGAAGCTCCAGATTTATCTCAAATGTCACTGTGAGCAGAATTTGATGAGAATTCAAGGACATAGCTAGTATAATCAGTTAACTTTTCCCCAGAATTTTACTCGTGTTCTTTCCAAGAAGAATCATCAACATATGGGCCGGCTTCCTTTTCTGTGGCCTTCTCATGATGACTGTGCTTTCATTCTGTTATAGCACAATTGATGTGTTCATGTCATCATGACACTAAGAAAAATGGAGGCATGTAAAAGTTGATAAATTAAAAGTTTGTAAAAGATTACTTCCTTCTGATGCATGGAGGTTAAATAGCAAACATAGCTTACAAAAAACAGTTGGGCTTAACACCATGCTGTTGTGAGGAAGAAACATTCAAGATAGCAAGTGAAAATGCAAGGTATTAATGGTGGAGTAAGAGTGTCTGAACCCCTTCACGGGTTGCTGCCTTGTCATGGTGAAGGGGCTTGAGTAATTCAGAGAAGCTATGGGCTATGCCGTGTGGGGACACCCAAGACAGAGAGGTCATAGTGGAGAGTTCTGACTAAATTCAATCCACCTGGAGCAGGAACTGACAAGCCACTCCAGTATTTTTGCCAAGAAAACCCCATGAACAGAAACAAAAGGCTAAAAGATATGACGCTGGAAGATGAGCCCTTCAGGTTGTAAGGTGTCCAACATCCTACTGGGGAAGAGCAGAGGACAAGTACAAGTAGCTCCAGTGCTAATGAAGTGGTTGGGCCAAAGCTGAAAGGATGCTCAGCTCCTTTCACTCGCGCCTGGAAGTGAAAGAAAAGTCCGATGCTGCAAAGAAAAATACTGCATAGAAACCTGGAATGTAAAATCTATGAACCTTGGTGAGTTGGATGTGGTCAAACAGGAGATGGCAAGAATAAACATTGACATCCTGGG